ATACTATCTCATGTCGGTAGACCAGGAGACAGTGCTTCCAGAAGAGAAAGTTCAAAATCTAATCAGAAAAGTATGGGCTTTACAGAACAATCAGCCAGTATATGTACAAGAACTCATGTCGGTACTAGGTTTGATGACATCAGCAATCCTGGCTGTGCAGTGGGCCAGGTTCCATCTAAGGCCCTTACAGTCCTTTTTTACTGTATGTACAAGGGCAAGAGGACCTGGACAGAAAGGTACGTCTGCCAAAATGGTGGTGGAGACTGCACACATCTATGTCGAGGATTATTCTGGTTGTTTCCCGATTTCGCAGAAGCTGGTGATGGACGCAAGCAGGGGGGGCTGGGGACCCCACCTAGGGGGGCAGCCCAAGGAAAATGGACCCCAGAGGAAGCATAGGCTTCTTCAAATTTGCTGAACAAATTCCTACTAGAAAGGACAACGTTAATTATGATCACTCCATTCTGGCACAAAAGAGTGTGCTTTTCGCAACCCCTCTCCCTTTCGACAAAACTACCTTGGTCGCTTCACCTCAGGGAATATCTGATGCGGCAGGGGCCTTATCAACACCTCAAGCCAGGGAATTTTAAGTGGACAGCCTGGCTTCTGAAGAGAAGTTAAAGTCAAAAGGGCTCTCAGACAAGGTTGTGGTGACCTTGCTGAGCGTTAGGAAGCCAAATATCAGAGCCATTTACTAAAAGGTGTTGAAAAAGTTCAACTCATGGTGTTGTGAAAACAATAGATTATGGACACTCCAGCTATTCTGAAATTCTTGCAGCATGGATTAGAATAGACTTGTACGGAGTGCTCTAAAAATGCAAATAGCGGCTCTGTCTGTTTACCTTGATCGCTGTCTGCAAGAAGACCTCTAATTTCAAGATTTTGTAAAGCCGTGGGTAAGAGCAAAGTCTAATTCTTGTAAATGTCCCAATTGGGACTTATTGGTAGTGCTAGCCACTCCGTTTGAGCCACTGCAGGAGGCCTCACTACGCAGCTTAACTCTAAAGATGGTCTTCCTAATGGCCATCACCATGGCCCACACAATAGGGGAAATTCAGGCTCTGTCTATCAGGGCGCCTTTCTTAAGGATTTTTAGACAGAATAATTTTACAGACAGACCCAGGCTTTGTACCAAAAGTTGCCCCAGCCTTTCACAAATCCCAAGACATAGTGTTGCCCTCCTTCTGTAGCACACCCTCCAACAGTAAGGAGCAATACCTGAGCCTCCTGGATGTCAGGAGATGTTTGTTAACATACCTTGAGGTTACAAGCCAATTTAGGTCTTCGGAAGCTTTGTTCGTGTGCTATATGAGCGAAAGCAGAAAGGAAAGCAGGCGTCTAAAAACACCTTAGCTAGGTTGGTCAAGCAAGTGATCATTGAATGCTATGGAATCATGCAACTTCCTCCACCGAAGGTTCTAAAGTCACATTCCACTAGTGCTACGTGGGCAGAAAAAGCCGGACGCTACCCTGGAGCAAATCTCCAGGACGACAATCTGGTCAAGGTTCTCTACTTTTGTCTGGCATTACTGTCTGGACCTTATATTCAGCCAGGACCAAGCCTTTTTGGGAGGAGGTCCTTCAAGCAGTGGTCCCCCTCCTAATCTGTTGAGTACTTGTTTATCTTCTCAAGGGCTGGCCTGGAAGATGACTGGGGAAAAACCAGAGTTAGACTTACCGGTAACTCAGTTTCCAGTAATCTTCCAGGACAGCATGTTCCACCCTAGGATTTAAAGTTATTCAGTATTTTGTTGTTTGATATGTCTTTCAGATCCGTCCTTTTGGTTCTCATGGATAACTGGTCATGAGCCTGAGGGACCACCTTTAAAAGACGAAGTGGCAATGTGTTTCCTGAGTGGAGGGGAGGAGCTCCATCTCTCAGAGCTATCCTGCAAGACTACTGGAAACCGAGTTACCGGCAAGTCTTACTCTGGTTTTTCCTAGCAGTTATGAAAGGCTGCTTTCTCAGATGGTCATCATGCTGGAGGGGGAGAAGCCTCCGGGCTTCTAATGCAGCCTTTTTATGGTTCCCAAGCAAACTGAGACATCTGGACTTCAAGGGTTTCAATAAATTCTTGCAAGTGCCGAAAATCACAATGGTTTCCACCCAGTCTTCGCTTCATTAGAGGGACTTCTTGACGACAGTGGATTTCAAGGATACCTACCTGCACTTTCCAGTTTTCCAATCTTGACAATGGTTTATGCGGTTCACAGTAGAAGTCTACCACTACAAGTGTGTGGTGTTGCCCGTCAGTTTTTCTGCGGCTCCCAGATTGTTTAACAATGTGTTTGCTCCAGTTCTGGGATTGTTGAGGACCAGAGGTATTCCCATTGTGGGGTACCTGGATTACACACTTCTTGAGGGACAATTGGCTCAGACCTTGAGATAAAATATGTATCAAATGGTGCAGATCCTGGAAAGGTTAGGTTGGGTGGTTGAACCTTCTGGTTAGGTTCACACTCATGCGGTGCTGTACATAGCATGTGATTCGCACCGGAACCGCACCGCATTTCTATGCCAATCACAGGCGAATTGTGTGCAGTGCAATTTGAGCCATACATTATGTATGGCTCAAAATCGCACCGTATGCGCACCAAAAAGGCGCAAGACCCTTTTTTTGGGTCCGAACTACAATCGGATCACATGGGTATTCACACCAATGCGATCCGAGTCTGCACATTGTACTACCGCGTTTTGTGGACCGATTCCAGGGTGTTGTTGACTTAACATACACACCCGCAGCGGTTCGCATGAATGGGGTGCGATTCTGATGCGGTGTGGAATTCGCACAGAAAACGCTGCGATTTCCAGACCGCATCAGTGTGAACCCAGGCTTAGAATTCAGCATTAGTCCCAAACACAGCACATATGAAATGCTGCTTTAGCAGGAGAAATGCCTGTCCCTTCTCTCCCAAGTGGAGTCTCTGATGTCACTGGAAAGTGTTTTTTTTTATTATATGCTGTCTATTCTGTTTGGCTTGTGAGTGTAATTCGTTGTCTGTCACCTCTCAATAAAGGGTAGATAATGCACTAGGCATTTGTGCCTTCTCTGTTTATTTTTTATGCAGTACTGGATTCCCCAATATGAAGAAGGCAGTACTGCTTGTTCCTTCCAGCTGAGGTTGCACAGTGGTGTTTACAGATATGGTACATATGACAGACATCCCCATGATTTCCAAGCGCTGAAGTGTCAAATTAACATTTCCTTTGTCAATATCTTGTCAGTACGAGACAAATGACAGGATTCCTTGTATCTGCCAATGCATTTGCCTGCTAAGACCAGGTTAGCTCTGGAATGGTGGATTTCCATGCAGATGCCAGGAAAAATATTTTCCTTCCAATAGCTTGGAAGGTTTTGACAGTGAATGCTAGCGTGTGGAGATGGGGGGATGTTCTGTAAAAGCTCTTGGTTCAAGGAATGTGGTTGTCAGAGGAGCAGAGGTTGCTGATCACATCCTGGAACTTCAGCTGATTTGGCTGGCTCTTCTACATTGGTCGGTCTACCTTAGGGGGTCTCCTCATCAGGGTGCAGCCAAACAATGCCATGGTGGTGGCATACTTCAGCCATCAAAGAAGGACAAGAAGTCACACTGCTGAAGAAGAAACCTATCTGATCTTGTCCTGGGCAGAACTTCACGTATTGACCTTCTCTGCTGTGCACATTGCCGGTGTGGAAAATTAGCAGGCAGTGTTTTCTCAGCTATCAACAGTTGAATCTGGGTGACTCTGCCCTTCACGCGGAGGTGTTCACAGCAATTTGTCTGTGATGGGGGATGCTTTATGTGGATCTCTTGTTGCCTAGGTTCAACAAGTTGCACTGGGTGTTTCCCAGACCAGGGTTCCTCAGGTGTTTGCGGTGGATGTCCTGGTGACTCCTTGGGATTAGTTCTCTATGATCTATGCCTTTCCTCCACTGCAGCTTCTGGAGGGTATTCTGGTGACTCTGATCGCACCTGCTTGGCCAAGAAGAACATAGTATGCAGATATCTCAAATCTCTTAGAGGACAAGCCATGAGCTCTTCCAGATTGGCCAGACTTGTTGCAGGGTTCGATGTTTCGTCCTGTTTTATGATCACTGGCTGTGATGGCATTGCTGTTGAAGTCCACATCCTGCAGGGTCAGGGGTGTTTTCAGACTCTGTAATCCCAACCCTTACAGAGCAGAAAGTAGATTTCCAAGGCTTGTTGTAAGGCTTGCAAGTTCTGACAGTATGTTGAGGGGTGCATTTTGGCTTTTTTCCCAGTCTGCTGTGCAAATGCCTCCAGCTTTCAGATCTCAGGTTTTGTTTCAGAGAGACCTATCTTGTCTAAATACTCCATGAATTGTTCTGCCTGTGTGGGTCCTCTTTCTCTGTGGGACCTTAATTTGGTGGTGTCTGTTTTACAGATTTCTTTGTTTCAACTTGAGTAATTCCATTGATGCTTCTTACGCACAAGGTGGTGTTTTGTGTTTGCCATTACTACTTCAGCTTGTAAAGTCTCTGAGCTTCATGCTTAGGTTTTCCCCTATTCTGTTTTGGGTTTTTGGATTGACTTTGTTCTGATGTTGCCCACTAGTCCTGTTCAGTGCTTTGGGACATCCCAAGTAGTAATGAACCTGAAGATGCCCTGTAGCCTCTGATGTAAGAAAAAAATGAGTATTGTGGGTGTACCCGTAAAACCCTTTTCTAGGAGTACACTACAGGCCATGGGGATCCCTCTCTTTGTATTTGTTCCTCATTTCTTGCTTCAAAACTGAGGCTTAGCGGAACTAGGAGGGGGTTATGCATTTTTTTTTTTTTTTTTTTGCTAGTATCCATCACCTGAGGGTAGCAGCATAAGCAATTATCAATATGAAGAGTCATATAGTCAAAGAAAAAAGATTTTATACAAATAAGCTAAAAATCCAAATTTTTTGACTATTGGTGCCATTTCACAACAAAAGCTTGCAGTGAGTATTTGCTGAAAACATACTGTAAGTAACTTCCTTTTAATGAGGACATCATTTTTTGTTTTCTTAGGAAACCACATGTGCTGAGCAAGTAAAAGAACTGATTCTGAGCCAATGCGAGAAAAGCTGCGATCAGAGCACGGTCGAACAGTTAGATAAAGTTTTAAATGACAACAGCAAACCTGTAGGCCTTCTCCTCAGCGAGAGATTCATTAATGTTCCGGCACAGATTGCTCTGCCCATGCACCAGCAGCTCCAGTAAGTCTAATTTCCAGCTTTTTTTTTTCTCTCCTTTTCCTTCAGTCACCATCAAAGATGTTATTTAAATGTAAATGTGTTGAAGTGCAAAGACTAAAAACTGTAACAATGTGACAATGAATTTGATATGATTAGTAGAGCCAGGATATGTTCTGTCTTTGTTTTCCTATGAAAAGTAGAACTGTAATTGTTTCTCATATGTTTGGAGCACAAAAACCACAGTGCTTCTCGTTAAGATTCATTTATAATCTGTACAGCTTTCAAATTGGGAAAAATGCTGTTTTAATGAATTTTGTACTGCAACTGTTTCTGCTTCGCTGTCAAAAGTAAAACATTATTGTGTACAATTCAGAAAGCTTCTGCACCGTGTAAAACTGGCTGTACGCTGATCATCGGACAGGCTAGGTAATCTTAGATCCCATTTGCTGATGTGCATGGGGGAACACACTTTGCTGTTCAGTACTTGTTTGTCATCAAACGGATAGGATGGTAAGATTTAAAGCCCATCTCTGGACAAAATCTAAAGTACCCCCATCTCTCCATGTTCCCACCAGACAAAGCTCTACAAAGCATTTTTTGCTTACTTGAGCCTGCCATTATATCATCACGGTGGCTCTTCTTCCATGTTGCAGTGTTTATTCTTGGCTAGCACACCCAATAGCTTAGCCTTGCCCATGGAAATATTATCCATCCCCAGTGCATGGGTCCAGCTATAGATGGAGATAATCTGTGATGTGGCACAAAGTCAGGGCCCCATGGCATACTGTGAATCAGGCCTGCAGCAAACAACACAAATACATAGGAGGCAAAAGAGCTGGACTAACAAACCACAGAGCAAGGCTGTGGCTCTTCCCCATTTATCCCCTGTTTGGTCACGATAGCCACGGAGCATCACTAACCATGCCATCAAAATGCAGATCTCTTGTGATGCATGTAAATGTGTTTTGTTAAAGTATATGTGAACCCTTACCTTGTAAAACAATCCATTTGGTTTAAAATAGAAATCAAAGACAAAACATGTTTGTATGTTTGATATATACAGTATTATCTCTACACATCATACTTTTTATTTTCTTAAATCTTTGTTCTCAGCTCCGTTAAGGTGCTTGGAGAGGTGGAGAAGCAGTAGTACACTGATCATCCCAGTGAATGGCTGTGCAAGAAAGGAGGGGGGTTCGGTCTTGATTATTGGAGGATAGGCAGACTGGCCTCCCAGCACTGTCAGAAAACTGATCATGCTGGGAAGGATGTGCTCCCATGTATAGCTTGGTCAGTTTGAAATAGAGTAGGGGAACTGACAGGATTACCATGTATTTCACACAAAGGAAGAAATGCAAAGAGGACGGGATGCTTTGTAACACAAGTACATGGTACAATAGACACATATTAGGAATATGAAATGTTGGGGTAACACATTCTTTAACCCTTAGATACTTGTCAATGGACCCTTTACAGAGGGCCTCAACTTTTGCCCAATTTGTACCTAAGCCCCACTCATCGCCATCCAAGGGAGGAGCTCCTAGTGGTAACCTTGGCTCGTTCATTGATTGGTGGTGGTAATTGGACTTAGTTCTGATGTGGGCGGTGCTAGCCTAATTTGAGAGTCTGCATTGGTTATTGTAGCACTCACTATAAATTTGTGGTGGTTGGGAGACCCGCCCATGTTTTTACTGCTTACAAGAACAATGGAATAGATATTTCTGACCTGACTGGCAGGACTGGAGAACATGTTTTGGTTCCTATTTAGACACCATTCTATCCCTTAGAGATAAAATCATCCAGCTAAGGTATTTACCCAAAGTACTTTATCTTTGCCTGACTATTTAAAATGGATAAAAAAAATTCTACTCCATCTGTCACAGGTTCCAGGTGACAAATGGTGTCTACATATGCTTTGGGGATGCTCTAAAGTGAGACCTTTTTTGGTTGCAAGTTACTGAATTTATTATCCCCAAGATATGTAATCCAAAGTGGTGTCTTTTTGATATCTTTGGAAAAATGAAATTTGATCACACTCAAACAAAAAAACATATAGGAGACATACTAATTGTACGCCTGCCAAAGCCATACATATTAATTCTTGGAAAGGTTTAGTGAGTAAGCTGCTTCCTTTTTTATAAAATTGTGTGTGTGTGTGTGTGTGTGTGTGTGTGTGTGTGTGTGTGTGTGTGTGTGTGTGTGTGTGTGTGTGTGAGATTTTTTTTTTCTTTCTTTAGAAAGTATGGGGCGAGTGGGTGGCGCAGCAAAACTAGTCATAATAATAATATTCCTCGCGCTGCATGTTAGTGGTCCGGAGATATAATGTAGAACCTGCAACGACAACTCTGGAGTTAGAATTTTCAAGGTCTCTAAACAATTACTGTCATAGTTATCTAGCAGCAAAGAAGACCAGTTTGCATAAATTAATTTACCTTGACCCTCCTCATTATTCATAGAACGTTTCACCTATGTATTCCACATGGAATGTGTGAAGGCCTCTTTACATAAGGATACTCTGGTTCAAACATTTTTTTGATATCTGGGAATCGTTTATTCTATAGTAAGTAAGTGCAGCACTTAACTAATTTAAAATAGTGCATATAGAAATAAATCACATAAGTCTAACTCCTTCAGTGGTAAGTAGATCTATGATAGCACCACGTGTCCTCCACCAGAAATCACTCTGAGGCTTACCAGAGTGTAAGTGACTCTTGAGAGAAGTCTTCACCCAGCTCAGCAGCTTATAAGATGGTCTCCCCCCTGATTGGTCTCCCACCACAGCACACTCAGGGTCCTGGAATCAACCCAAGCATAAATAATGTAAAAAAATCCCAAATAACACTTCCCATAGTGTTAATCTAGCAGGTGGATTTATTAATATTGGTTTAAAACACTTGCAAACGGGGCGCATAAAATCGGCATGAAAGACTACACAACCCAGAATCCTGGGTTGCACATATACAGTTGTGTTCAAAATAATAGCAGTGTGTTGAAAAAAGTGAATAAAGCTCAAAATCCTTCTAATAGCTTTTATTTCCATACACACAAATGCATTGGGAACACTACACATTCTATTCCAAATCAAAAAAAGGAGAAAAATATCTCAAATTTGTGTTGTTCCTCTAAAAGAATTGAAGAAAAGTGAATATTAGACTGTTCAAAAAAATAGCAGTGTTTTGTATTCTTCTTTACAAACTCAAACATTCACTATATAAACTGAAAAATGTTTGAAGATTTTGCTTTCCTTTGAATCACTTAATTAATATTTAGTTGTATAAGCACTGTTTCTGAGAACTGCTGTACATCTGTGTTGCATGGAGTCAACCAACTTCTGGCACCTGTGAACAGGTATTCCAGCCCAGGATGATTGGACTACATTCCACAGTTCTTCTCTATTTCTTGGTTTTGCCTCAGAAACTGCATTTATGATGTCACCCCACAAGTTTTCTATTGGATTAAGATCTGGGGATTGGGCTGGCCACTCCATAACGTCAATCTTGTTGGTCTGGAACCAAGATGTTGCACGTTTACTGGTGTATAAATGTAACAAGAAACAGTGCAGCGCTCAAAAAATAAAGACAAAAAGTCTATGCGATATCCATGGTGTTGTCTGGATTAGATGAATACACTTCCGAAGTATATACTGCTTCGAAATAATAGCAATGCGCACTCACCAGAAACGCATGGATTATGCGTATGTAGGAATAATCATCCCAGATGTCAGATCCATCAGACATCTGGGATCAGTTCTTCTCTATTTCTTGGTTTTGCCTCAGAAACTGCATTTATGATGTCACCCCACAAGTTTTCTATTGGATTAAGATCTGGGGATTGGGCTGGCCACTCCATAACGTCAATCTTGTTGGTCTGGAACCAAGATGTTGCACGTTTACTGGTGTATAAATGTAACAAGAAACAGTGCAGCGCTCAAAAAATAAAGACAAAAAGTCTATGCGATATCCATGGTGTTGTCTGGATTAGATGAATACACTTCCGAAGTATATACTGCTTCGAAATAATAGCAATGCGCACTCACCAGAAACGCATGGATTATGCGTATGTAGGAATAATCATCCCAGATGTCAGATCCATCGAAGACCAAATGGTGGGCGTCCTTCTCACGGTGGGTCATCAAAGACTCCAAATCAGATCCAGAGGTCCCCTTAAGGCTAGTCAGGTAATCCACACTGATAGTATTGATCCCTCTTCTGGCTGGCATAGGCACCCTCTCTGTGGGAGTAATGGCTCCACAAAGGAGCCCCAAGAAACAGGTGCCAGAGATAGTGTAGTATGTTCTTAGGTGATTTATTTGTCAAAAACAGCAATAGGGCAGTATGCACATCACAACATATATTAGGAAGTGAAAAACAGCATTACTGACCCCAATAAAGATGGCCGCCGGGCCTCCTCGTGGCTCCGGCGGTAGGAAATGACGTCACGCTCTGCACAGCTCCTCCTTAGGCCTTTCGTGCTACAGGCACATCATCAGAGGGGAGGCTGTACAGAGGCGTGACCGACGTCAATGCAATATATAGAGGAAGATGGCGCATGCGCGATTAACCGCGGCCATCTTCCCGTAGAGTCCGCAGTGCACATGCGCGCAAAAGGAAGCGCCATTTTGCCGTGGATCCGCGATATTGTAAGTCATATAAAAAGGGGTAGGAGATTCCTCCGCTTTCCCATCCTAGTAGCTGCAGGCTATTCAGCCACAGACCCCAGGGAATCAATGGAGCGGTATACTCCTGTCTAATAAAGTGACAGTGCTCCGTAAATAAAGATCTTTAAATATGACTGTGAAGTACCTACAGTCATGGCCGAAATTGTTGGCACCCTTGATATTTCTCCAGGAAATCATGTATTTCTCACGAAACGTATTGCATTAACACATGTTTTGCTATACACATGTTTATTCCCTTTGTGTGTATTGGGACAAAACAAAAAAAGGGAGGAAAGAAAGCAAATTCGACATAATGTCACACAAACCTCCAAAAATGGGCTGGACAAAAGTATTGGCACCCTTT